GGGCCCGTGAGCCATGGCCGCTGGGCCTGCGCGTCCGGGGCCTGTGCTCCACAAATGGGAGAGGCCACAGCAGTGAGAGGCCCGCATAACGCAAGAAAAAAAAAAAAAAAAAAAAATTAGTTAATCGCAAGAAAAAAAAAAAAAAAAAAAAAATTCAACCATAATTTATTGAGACCAAGAAGCAATTTTCAGCTCTTTCTTGTAACACTGGTAGATAGAAACATTAACAGAGAAAAGTATTTTTTAATTTCAAGTGTCTTTGTGGATTAAACTGCTCACAGATATTGTATTGTTTAAACAAAAATGAACTGACTCATCAAAGAAATATCTACTGCTTGTTATTTCTAGATGTACGATGTAATGGGAATGACTTAAGCTGAATCGATCGTGATATATTAGTATCAGGATGAAAGAAAGTAAAACCACTTGCCAAAAGTGAGCTTTGTATTCTAAAAATAAATACCCGCATAGTTCCAAAATATTTTGAGGAAAATAAGAAACTCAGTAACATAAAAGTCTACCAATGTATTAGGATTTTTATGACTCGTGTCATGAGGGAGGCCACAGGTAACACACTTCAAATTTCAGAATGGCAGTGTCCAGGGAAAAAAGCCAGGCCACGGTGGACAAAAAGGCAGACAAAAACCCCTTGGTAGGATCTGATTCAGAGGGGTTGTATGTAGGCTTCCCGGGGTGGTGGTGAATATCCTCTTGCTAGGAGCTCTCCCCTTAAGACTCACAGTAAACATAGGTTGGGGAACGGAGCTGCAGGGGGAGGTCAGCCTGGCACTCAGGGGGAGGGTCTGAGGAAAGGGGAGCAGCACCCATGCGCGGAGATTGGGGAGCAAATGGTCCTTGCCAAATGCTCCTTTGGGATCATCAGATGTCCAAGGAACCACTTCTAGGAGCTCAAGTTTAATCACAGGGTTTTTCTTTGTCTCAGGTTTGCAACCTCTCCTCTGTAGATAATGAAGTTTCATTCAGTTCCCTCCAAAACTCTCCTGAGGTTTTAGTCTCATGGACAGGCTGCCTCTGTGAAGAAGAAACGATTCTTGCCAGCTTTTTTTTTGAGATCTTTGAATTGTTTCCTGTAGGTCTTGAGCTCATCATTTTCATGCATCGTTAGGTCATTTGCTTCAGAACTTCCCATTTCTTGCCGCCAAGTCACGATCTGCCATGACAGGTCATTCTAAGTTGCTCTTCTTGTCTCTGTTAAAGCTCAGTCATTTCATTTCCTCCCTCCTTAGGATGTTGATCTGCCCATTTGATTGAAGATTCTTCAGTCTGGACACCTTCATGATGATCTGTCACGTGGGCTTTTTCTTCTCTTAGCCATGTTGGTGTAGGATAGATTGATCTTGCTATTTTGAATGTTTGAATATGCATTTGACTTTGGAGCATCCTGCAGAGACATGACTGGACTCTCTCTACACTCAGGCTCACAGTGGAGACCTTGAGCCATTTTTGCAGTCGCCCACAGTAGTTTTAATTGTGATTTAGCTTTTTCCACTTTTTTTGATAGAATTGGTTTCATCTCCCAGAGGCTAGATCTTTTTTTTTTCCCCCCTCAGGAACAGATATCAACCGTTCTTGGTCTGAATAGTGAGGATTTTCTTTCCCCCCATGTTTTATTACAACACATATGATGTTCCTCATCATAGGGTTGAACAAATCCAGGTCACCAGACTTTTCTGCATTTGCATCCTCTTCCTTCACAGGATGAAACTTGTCAGGAGCGTTACATTTTGCTACAGCTTGTGCTGAACTGCTGACTGGTAGATTCCTTGTTTCCCTGTAGAGAAAGCCATTCTTTGACTACCTGAAAAAGTCTGCCTAAAATCAAGAGAGCTATGAACACCTGACCCATCCCAGCACACTCCACCATCTCCCACTGACATCCAGGGACAGCGAGCCTGGGTGTCTCAGTGTCAGTGCATTCTGCCAGGAAACTCTTCAGCATTTGCCACAACTGCTCCAGGTCCACATTCCTACTAGGATGTGGTTCCTCCACAGTGGCTCCTGAAGCAGAGTCCCCTATACAGCTGCTCCCATGGCCAGCTGGACCACACCACACTGTGGAGATCACCGAGCTGGGTTCTGCCCAGAATCACTCCTGTGACAGGTAACTGGGCAGACCATGCCTGCAGAAGGTTGAGTGAGCAGTACCAAAGCAATGAAAACTCACACACCCTCCACCCTGCCCTTGGCATTTTCTTTTCTCTAGTTACACTTCTCCCTCTGTGGCCCCAGCAGGCCCATCCAATCCTCTAGGCATGCTGTACCCTCAGCCTGGAAAGATCTTCCTCCCATTGCCAATGTGGGGTCACACCCCTTCCTTAGCAATTGTGTTCACTTGCCCCTGTGTCCTCAGTGCTCAGGGCAGGGCCTGACTGGGATTAGGGGCCCAGTACTCCATGCATTTTTGTGAGAGGAATACACGAATGAGCATTTGAATGAATGAAGGAAGGAGAAAGCCATCCTTTGCCATCACTGGAGATTCATACATCATGTTCTGCTGACCCATCAGGCAGTTAAAACTCTGGTCCATGTAGAAAGGAGGAGTGATACAATTAAAAATGTCAAACAAATGTTAATAACAGATGACCATGTAATGTTAATGAAAATTCACCATTTTGGACTATAAAAGACTATAGTCCAAAAGGACTACAGTCCTATAAAGGACTATAAAAGATCCTCAACTTAAAAAAAATTAAATAGTGTAATGGATTTCCTGTAATCCAATTTCAGGATAATTAAAAACAAAGTGTGAAGTAAATAAAACAACTGCTTGGAGATTTCAGAACTCTCCTAAGTAATCTTTGGATCAGGGACTTCCCTGATCCAGTGGTTAAAACTCTGCGCTCCCACTGCCGTGGACCTGGGTTCAATCCCTGGTTGGGGAACTAAGGTCCCACAAGCCACATGGCCAAAAGAAAAAAAATCTTTGGATCAAAGAAGGCACCAAAAACAATATTCCACAATACTTTTAAAATCCTAACAACAGATATACCAACAAAATGCAGAAGAGAGATAATATTATTCAATGAAGAAAATTCATACCATATAATACTTCTGAACACTTAGGACAAACATGTGAAAATGAATCAAACGATGAATAATGTAGCTTAAAAAGCTAGAAATTGAAAAGGAAATACAAAGAAGGCAGAGCAACGAAAATAAGAAGTTTTAGCATAAAGTATTTTAGGGCTCTGAAAATCGGAACACTTGATAGGAAAATATAAGAACTGCTTATAGGGTGGCTATTTTTCTTTTCGCTGAGGATGTCCAGTGAACTCTGTGGACTCCGTAGAAGCTTCCCTCAAGTACAGCTTAAAACTCCACTGGAAAAGTACATACTCCTGTACTAGTGAATATAACAAAAGAGAAACAGATTCACAAATATAGAGAACAAACCAGTGGTTACCAGTGGAGAGGGAAGGGGGAAGGAGTAAGGTAATATCAAGGTACAGGATTAAGAGGTACAAACTATTATGTATAAAATAAGCTACAAAGATATACTGTACAACACAGGGAATACAGCCAATATTTTATAATAACTATAAATGGAGTGTAACCTTTAAAAACTGTGAATCACTGTATTTTATACTTGTATTTAACATATAATATTCTTCAATAAAAAACCAAATATGATGATATCTTTATAGAATATGTCTTTGTATAAACATTACTATTAGTGATCTAGTAATGTATATAATTCCAGTGACATTTAGATCCTCATGACCACTAAGTGCTGTCTTTTCCTGTTCAGGTCTGCATGTTGCATTGGTTCTGGGCCATGAGTTTGTTCTGTGAAGTCCCTGTCTTCCATCTTCCACTGAATCCACACCTTTTGTTTTGTCAAAATCTCCCTTCCTTGCTGTGCATACTTCATTCCATTATTTCTGACAATGACAGAACAAAGAAAGCAACCAAAGCAGATGTATCTGGAGGTGACTGGGAGGTGGGGGAAGTCATGGTTTCTCAAGCTCTGCCCCCTGAGATTAGCCCTTCCCTTAGTCACCTGAGCAAGTTTCACCTCTGCAGTGATGGAGGGGGAGAATCCCTATCTTTTACGTCTTGAGAACCCACGACCCTTTTATCCTTGCAGTCAAGTAACGAACATCTCTTTAGTGTGAAACTTGTTATTCATACACGGGGTGTATGTTCAGAGAAACTAATGTTTTGGGGGTTTGGTTTTGTTTTCCTAAAATTGTTCTTGAGGCAGCTGTGGTGTAAGCCACAGTGTACCACAATGGGCATTAGAGGATATCATTTCAAATCCCAGTTTTGTCATTTATTAGCTGTGTGACACTGGCCGGACCTCCTGTTCTCTGAATTTCCCTTTCCCCATAAAAATTAAAAATTTCTCTTCTAGTGTTTTTTCTGAGGGGAGGGGGAGAGTTTAATGGTAAAATGTGTGTAAATTTACTTAGCTATTTCCTTGATACATGTTTGGACCTTCAAAATGTATGAATTATGTTAGCTGGTTTATGTTTGGGAAGCTATAATGTTAGTATGGTACTCTAAAATATCTCAAAAGGTTTTCATTTTCAAGGACAAAATATATTAGTGTTTGATAAAGCATTAAAGGATAAATTTTTTTTTTTTTTTTTAACATACAAGGACTGCCCTCAAAGTCATAAATTCTTAACTGGTTACTAATCTGAGAATCCAGAATGTTGAGCAACTTTTTGATCAAATCATTTACTTCACTGGTTGTCAACCACCTGGAGTGTTTAAAAAAAATTACCAGTACCTGGGCTCCACCCCAGACCTCTTAAACTGGAATGCCCAGGTGGGGCATTGAAAAAAAGGGCAAGAGCAAAGAACACCATATTTTAATTATCACAAGGCTAAAGTTCCTTCAAAAGAGAAATTAAAGTAGACCTAGCTGATTGTTCACTTTATGAGTCAGAGGCACAAGTTGAATTAGCAGGGACTGTTATAAAAGCTTTAGATTTCAGGTTCACAGCTGTCTGAGTAAGAAGAGAAGGTTCCAGTGGATCCGGCTGTGGTCCTGGTGCTCTGTCTCTCTCTGCTGTCTGCTTCTCCTCTCACTCTGGAAACAGAGCTCTGGGAAAGGGCAGCTCCAGCCTGGCCCCCACTCCTCTCCCAATTCTTGGAAATATCCTACAGTTAGATGTTAAGGACATCGGCAAATCCTTAACCAATGTAAGTAGGTTTTATGTTCCTCCAGTGGCTTGCAAAGGGAAAGTAAATGAACATCTACTTTTTTTTTTTTTTTTTCGGTACGCGGGCCTCTCACTGTTGTGGCCTCTCCCGTTGCGGAGCACAGGCTCCAGACGCGCAGGCTCAGCAGCCATGGCTCACGGGCGCAGCCGTTCCGCGGCATGTGGGATCCTCCCGGACCGGGACACTCTCAACCACTGCGCCACCAGGGAAGCCCATGAATATCTACTTTTAAATAAAATATCTTTATTAAAATACATTACAATATATTAAAATAAAATTATTAAAGATATTATTTTAAGGCAAACACTCCCTTGGAGTATTACTTTTGGTCTGTCATTGTCAATAATAGTGGAATGCATTGTGTGAGTAGAGAAACATTTAGGTCTTTGTATGGTTGAATCTAATAACGTGACAAAAGACTGAAGTGTTTCTCCCCTTTGTTTCACCACCATTTGCTATGATTTTTGGCTGAAGGTAAATGGTAAGGGAAATGTTTTGTGATTAGAGATTTCATTCAAGAAGTCATCTATTATATAAACTGTGTTTTGCTCAGAATAGCTATGAAAATTGAACTTCTGTGAAGAAGCAAATTATGCCTGATGTTAAGGAAATAGCTTGGGAGCAGGACAAGTATGAGTGAATGAAAGAAAAAAGTAATTAGTCAGAGCCAGCTGGGTAGTAATAAAATCCTTTTGGATTCTGCACAAAGCTGCTGTCTGTGGCCAAGAATGATGCAGGATGGAAGAAACTGTTCTTCCATGAGCTGCCGCATGTCCTGGCACTGCCTTTGCGATGCTTGCTCTCTTTCTGTTAGTAATACTAGCAGATCTTAAACTGGGCTGGGCATTTGAATCATCTAGGGTGGTTTTAAAAAATATAGATTTCTAGTATTTATCACTACTGAGTCAGAATTCCCATGGGATGAGCTTTACAGGTGATTCTGAAGCAGTCAACTGGATATTGGTTCCAAGGTAGGCATTGGGGACTGATAAATTTCTTAGGCATCAGAGGTCAACTAAGCTGTGTTGAAATTTGGGTCTTCTCCTTAATAAACATTCTCCAAAGACATACAGATGGCCAGTAGGCACATGAAAAGATGCTCAACATCACCAATTATTAGAGAACTGCAAATAAAAACTACAATGAGGTACCACCTCACATCAGTCAGAGTGGCCATCATTAAAAAGTCTACAAATAACAAATGCTGGAGAGGGTGTGGAGAAAAGAAAACCCTCCTACACTGTTGGTAGGAATGTAAGTTGGTGCAGCTACTAAGGAAAACAGTACGGAGGTTCCTCAGAAAACTAAAAATAGAATTACCATATGATCTGGCAATCCCATTCCTGGGCATATACCCAGACAAAACTATAGTTCAAAAAGATACATGCACCCCTATGTTCATAGCAGCACTATTCACAATAGCCAAAACATGGAAACAACCTAAATGTCCATCAACAGATGAATGGATAAAGATGTGGTACATATATACAGTGGAATACTACTCAGCCATAAAAAAGAACAAAATAATGCCATCTGCAGCAACATGGATGCAACTAGAGATTATCATACTAAGTGAAGTAAGTCAGAAAGAGAAAGACAAACACCATATGTTATCACTTATTTGTGGAATCTAAAATATGGCACAAATGAACCTATCTACAAAACGGAAACAGACTCACAGACACAGAGACCAGCCTTGTGGTTGCCAAGGGGGAGCTGGGGGGAGGGAGAGGGATGGACTGGGAGTTTGGGGTTGGTAGATGCAAACTATTACATTTAGAATGGATATATAACAAGGTCCTACCATATAGCACAGGGAACTATATCCAATCTCCTGGGATAAACCATAATGGAAAAGAATATTAAAAAAAAAAGTATGTATGTGTAAAACTGAGTCACTGTGCTGTACAGCAGAGACTGGCACACCACTATAGTTGAAGTAAATCAACTATAATTCAATAAAAAAAAGGGGGTCTTCTATTTATTAACTGTGAGACACTGGAAATAAACAGGAAAGCCTTTGAACCTTAATCTCTTTATCTATAAAACAGGGTAAATAAACCTAGCTCAAAGTTTTGATATGATGATTAGTAATAATCTGAGTACCAAGTACCCAGGCCATGGCCTGGCACATCAGAAGTGATATAATAATCACCATCATATTTAGTCTTTTAAAACATTTTTGTTGAAGTATACTTGATTTACAATATTGCGTTAGTTTCAGGTGTACCGCATAGTGATTCAGTGTGTTTGTTTTTGCAGATTATATTCCATTATATGTTATCACAAGATATTTTTTAAATGAAAATAATGTGGAGCTTTATTATTTAAAGAAAAACATCCAGACACACACACCTACTCCTAAAGGCTTTTGGGGGGTTGGGAGTGAGGTTTAGAACATAAACATTTTACTAAAATTCTCCAGGTGGTTCTTGATATGAATTACATTATAAATTTGAAGATCAATTATATATTGTAGATGCTAAAAATTTTAAAGTCATGACATTTATGAAGGGCTACTGGCAGGAACAACATGGATATGTCCATTACCTTTAGCTAACGGTACCCATTTACTAAGAAACAATAGGCTCAGCAGCTCATCTCAAACATAAAAAGCCAGATTCGGTCTGATATGATACGGTACTACTATGAATCTGTTAGTAGTACCATCTTCGTAGAATACAGGCTTCCAAGATGTTTGTTAGCACACTTTAAAATTACTCTACCATCATTAGACATCAATTTTGAAATCATAGCAATCCGTGACTTACTTATTTCAGGTAGGTCAGATGATGACCATTCTATTCTAGCTTTTTGAATTTGTAAGGGGGAAAACACCTCGTCATGCACCTTTCCCCAGCACATCAAATTGCAAATTGAAAATGTGACCTGCTACAGTAATGCGCTTGCTAGTACTACACACCTTGTACAAAGAAAAACAGAGGCAAGATAGGTATGGAAAGAAAAACTTCTTTTGTTGGCCCTCAAACTGAGTGAAGTTTTGAAATGTAGAGATGATCTCTGACATTTATAATGGATACCTGTATGTTCATTCTTACTGTGTAAATAAAATTGCTGCTATGAAGTGACATTAAAGTTTGCCAATAAATGAATTCTTCCTAACTTTACTCCCAGATGAAGTTTGGATAAACTATGACTTTCTAACGTTTAAATCTACTTTGGAACATAGCAATACAGCTTATACTGTACGAAAGTTTTATGACTTTTTTTCCCTATTAGATTTTTCCTAATTGACTCGAGCATTATTACATCTCCATTTTTGAATATGAAGATAGTGACTTGCTCCAAGTAATCCCCAGGTAGTAAATGGCTAGAATTTGAACTCTAAAGCCATGCTTTGCTGCCTGTAAGATTTTCTAGAACAAATCTGATTGTAAACCATTTTGTGTTCGTGTTTCACTTGATCCTCAGGGGAAACAGCAGTGTTATTACCTTGATTTTTCAGATTTTAGAAACATTTTTGGAGGATCAAATTGCCTAGTGAATGTAGAGCTTAACTAAGTCTTGATTCCAAATACTTTAAATTTGACCTGAAATTTCTTTATCCCTTTTATCTTTTGATATACTCATATGATTATCCTCTATTTTATCTTGTTGGTTACTTAACTTTTCAGTTCATCTCAGGTTGCAATCTGCCTGGGGGCAGAATTTGAAACTTTAAAAACTAAAAGCCTATAAATTTATAAAACATTGATACGTTTTTTACTAAGTAAAAAAATAATAATAAAAATAAACAAGGCTGTGAGTAAATTTAATTCTATGGAACACAGGCAAGGGACTGGAAAACTGAATTAGAAACGTCCTGAAAAGTCAAGTACTGATTTTTGTTCTTTTTTTTTTCCAAAGGAAACTATTTCTACCGTAATTTCTAATGTCAAATATGGCTTTTCCTCTAACTTTTCTCCTTTTTAAAGGAGAACTGTACTAGCTTCCTTAATAACAAAAAAATCCAGTGAGATATTCACCTGATATAAAAGTACCCACAATTTCTTTTTCTTTTTTTTTTAGCCACGCTGCTTGGCATATGGGATCTTAGTTCCCCAACCAGGGATGGAACCCGTGTCCCCTGCAGGGTAAGCACAGAGCCTTAACCACTGGACCGCCAGGGAAGTACCCCCCCCCCCGCCGTTACAATTTCTTACACTACCTCTTTTTCATTGTTCTTCCTTGTCTTCAAAAGAACAAGAAGGACAGGATAGGAAAGATAGCATTTAGTTTTTCATGGAGAATAATTATGAAAAGAGATTAACCCCAGAAATCATGCCTTTCTGTGGTAGCCCTTAATGTTTAAGGACCAGGAAATGAAATATCCCACTATTACACAAACAGAACCAACTTATATAAATAATGAAATCACTCACGCCGTGAGGCCTCGAGTATACTCCATTCTCTGTTTGATTTGCATAAGCGAAGATTATACGTTCGTATGTCTTGAGAATGAATGATGGATAAATTTGAACCACCAGAAGGATTTTTCATCATAGCTGAAGCCATTTTATAATGTAGAAATTCCTTTTTCCTATTTTAAGTAACGAAAGTCCATTCTTGGGAATATGTTGTCCGACAACTAAAACACTCTCAGGATCCGTTACTTGCTTGTGATTTATACTGACTCCGCCTTCCGTTATCATCCGATACCCTCTAGGACCGTCTGAAACGGCGTTTGCTTTGCAGCATTATCCAGGACCCTTGTTCCAGGGTTCACCTGGTATAAAAACTCGGCCAAACTCGCCACCGGGGTCTTCAGCCGAGTCTGCACGCTGGGCCGGTTTAGCAGCGTGCCCGCGCGGAAGTGGCCGCCCGCTGCCGCTAAGAAGTCCACCAGGTGCTGCTTCTGATACCACGCCGAGCTGTTCAGCACCGCGCAGCTGTCCTGCGTCAGCCAGTTAGTGAGCAGCTGCTGGTGATCAGCAGCCTAGAGCCCCCGGCGCAGGGCGCGCACGTTGTTTTATACGTGCTTTACATCCAGGGCCTTGTGCGCCCAGGTGCCGCCGCTCCGGCCTCCCAGGCGCGCGGTGGCGCCTCCCACCGACGCGCTCGCTTTGTGGCCCAATCGGTGGAAGTGAAACAGACCCAACAGTGCCAGCAGATGCCCCAAAGGAAGCGAGTCATGGGGTCGAAGGTGCAGTAGATGGTCTGGGGAAAGTTGCCCGCCATACCACCGTCCAAGAGCTCTGGGAGCCCTGTCTTCGTGCCCCTCTCTGGGAAGAACTCCTTGAACAGACCCGGAGCCTTCGGCACCTCCAGCAACCCGCGAGCGCCCGAGTTGGCCTCACGCAGTACCAGGGGAAAACTCTTGACCACCACCTCGGGAAGTACACCGCGATTTGGGCGCCGCCATCTTCCTTCCTGGTGACCTAGTACAAGAAAGTGAGTATAATAATACAAGAAAGTGAGTATAATTCCCCGTGCTATACAGTAAATCCTTGTTGCTTATCTAGTTTATGTATATTCGTGTGTATCTGTTAATCCCATACCCCTAATTTGTTCCCCCCACCTTAGTAACCATACATTTGTTTTCTATGTCTGTGAGTCTTTTCCTCTTTTGTATATAAACTCATTTGTATTATTATTATTATTATTTTTGGTGGTACGCGGGCCTCTCACTGTTGTGGCCTCTCACGTTGCGGAGCACAGGCTCCGGACGCGCAGGCTCAGCGGCCATGGCTCACGGGCCTAGTCGCTCCGCGGATGTGGGATCTTCCTGGATCGGGGCACGAACCCGTGTGCCCTGCATCGGCAGGCGGGCTCTCAACCACTGTGCCACCAGGGAGGCCCTGTATTATTTTTTAGAGTTGACATATAAGTGATATGATGTAGTATTTTTCTTTACCTGACTTATTTCACTAAGCATATTATCCTCTAGGCCCATCCAGGTTGCTACAAATGGCAACATTTCACTTTTTAAAAAAAAATTTATTTTTTTATTGGTCTTTTTTTTAATGGCTGAGTAATATTCCATTGTATAAATACACCACATCTTTTTAAGCCAATTGTCTGTTGATGGGCACTTGGGTTGCTTCCATGACTTGGCTATTGTAAATAGTGCTGCTGTGAACATTGGAGTGCGTTATCTTTTCGAATTAGAGTTTTTGTTTTTTTCTGGGTAAATACCCAGGAATGGAATTGCTGGATCATATAGTAACTCTATTTTTAGTTTTTAAAGGAGTCACTACTGTTCTCCATAGTGGCTGCACCAATTTACATTACTGCAGCCAGTGTAGGAGGGTTCCCTTTTCTGCACACCCTCTTCAGCATTTATTATTTATAGACTTTTTGTTGATAACCATTTTGACTGGTGTGAAGTGGTACCTCATGGTGGTTTTTTTTTTTCTCATCGTGGTTTTGATTTGCATTTCTCTAATAGGTAGTGATGTTGAGCAACTTTTTATATGCCTGTTGGCCCTCTGTATGTTGTCTTTGGAGAAATGTCTATTTAGGTCTTATGCTTTATTATGTTGAGATATGTTTCCTCTACAACCACTTTGGTGAGAGTTTTTTTTTTTTTTTATCATGAATGGATGTTGAATTATCATCATACATATATAAGGTCCAGAAATGTTTGAAGTTATGTGTGGCAGAATAAAAACATCAACAACATGATGTTGATAACAATCTTAATCATGAGCAAAATAGACCAAATTGTGACTTCCTTGGCTAATATACATTTTCCAGCTCTCAAAAGTGTATGGCCCTGTGCTCACTGGGTATTTTGGCTTGAAGCCCACCATAGTGTTGCATGGTTATGAAGCAGTGAAAGAAGCCCTGATTGATCTGTGAGAAGAGTTTTCTGGAAGAGGCATTCTCCCTGTGCCTCAAAGAGTTAATAAAGGACATGGTAGGTGTGCGTGTGCGCATGTTCTGCATTGGTAGTGAGGGTGGGGAGGATGGAAAAGAGGAATTTGAAGAGCCCCCCAGCAGAGCTGGGTCCATCTGCCAGGCTGCCAAGTGTCAGCTCACTCCTCCTTCCCTAGGGCCTCCCTCCTAGTTTCTGTTTCTCCTCCTGGTAGGAATCCTCTTTAGCAATGGAAAGAGATGGAAGGAGATCTGGCGCATCTCCCTCATGACCCTGCGGAATTTCGGGATGGGGAAGAGGAGCATTGAGGACCGAGTTCAAGAGGGAACCCACTGCCTTGTGGAGGAGTTGAGAAAAACCAGTGGTGGGTGACGCTATGCTCTGTCACTCTCACCTTAACAGACTGCTGTCTTCTCCAGTGACATCCTAGGAAACATTTCAGGGACAGCCGCATCTTTCATACGGGTCATGGTTGTCAGCCCTCCTGTGGAGCGGGGAGAGAGCCAAGAGGGCTTTTGTGTATCTATGCTTGTTGTGTGTGTACACCCACTATGGTGCATATAGTGTGGATTAAAGGTCATTTAATCCTATCCTGTCCTGAACTTTTTGTTTTCAAATCATTAGGTCATGAAGGTGGAAGGTTTTGAGTCTCGTTTTTTTCTGGCATTAGAGAATTATGTTTTTTCCCATGGTGTAAATGTGGGTTATGTATTCCAGAACATTTCATCAAGTGGACATAGTGGGAATGACCTCATCACACCCTTATGGAGCGCGAAACAGATGACATGTGCTTTCACTTAATTGGCCTATATTTGTATGGTCGCCTCACTCACATGTCTGAGGGTTTCTTCTGAGACCCATTGCCTACTGTTCTGGCCAGTAATAATTGTCTATGATTTTAATTGCTTAGGCATCCCTTAGTGCAGACCTTATCAATTGTGATTTCCTTGTAAATAACTGTTTTAAAATTATCAGCTTCAGTTATTTAATGTTGCTCCCTACTTACAGTGTTGTTTTATATATTTTAAGAAATAGATGCTGTGGCTTAATCCTGAACATTACACAAATACCAGGTTATAAAATGATCTATTTAAACAGATTTCAACTATTATTAATAACTCATTACCCTGCCTTCCCTATTAGTTTCTTCTGTTTTCAGCTTTCTTTATACTTCCCTCCCCCATTATTGATATAATAATCATGTTTTCTGTTTTCTCTACTTTATGATACTTTGACATTTTGGGGGACTTGCAGACCCAGGGAGCAGCTGCCTCTCCCAGGGTTAGCTAATTCTGAGATAAAGCATCACATCTTGTGTGTGAGCACTCCTTTGATTTTCAAACTAGCCTATCCAAAGCCGATACCCCCAGGAAACCTCCTTTATGAAACCCTCACACGCCAAGCCAGTATTCTTCCTGCCCTAAATCAACCCAGGGCCAGTTACAGGACAACTAGGGACCACCCCTGGGGCCTAGAGCCCTCTGAAATTACCCAAACTATCCAGTCTTAAACTTACTGAGCATACGTACCCAGCCTTGCTCATTTCTTCCATGAAAACCCCAGTAAAGGCTTTGGCCCATGCTCTCTCCTTGTTCCTTCTGCCTCCTGACTGACCTTGGTGCTTCCCCATGTGGCCTTGTGTAGTGTGCCCCCTCCTCTTGGGAAGTATGAGTAATAAACTATCCTATCATCTCCTGATCTGTTGGCCTTACCATCTGAATAAAAGTAAAACCCAAGTACATTTTAAAACAATTGGATGGTAATTGGTAATTTTTTACCAATTTTGGTACTTTGGTAATATTTTACACCTTACTGTCATCTGTACTCACCTATGAAGTGCTTGTTAAGATGGATCTTATTTTCAGTCTGAATTCCAAATTACCCTGCTTTGTAAGTCTCTCTCAAGTGAAAGGAAAGATTAAAAATCAGATTTTAGCTGTCACACCCACAGAAATCTTAAGGCCTTCTCAAATTATCCCCTACCTTCTAAAATAAAAGTTTTTCTGCAAGCTTAGTGTCTTGGCATGGTTCAGCTGAAAAGGAGCCTGGCATATGAGCACTTAACTAAATAGGTTCCTATTACTTAATTCCCTATCATTTCATCACAACACTTTGATTCAAGTCACCCTTAATTACATGTATGATGTGATTTGGTTTTTTTGCATATAAAGTTTATCGATCATCCAATTATAGCAATTTCATGTAAATATTGACCACTAAAAAAGAAAACTACTTTTCCTCTGCTTTAATTTATTTGTCTGTAAAATGATGGACTTCATCTAAATTCAAATTTAAAAATTTGTAACAACATATGGTATTCCGTTGATGGCTATATGTAGCAATATCCCAGAATTCCACAAGAGGGCGTGTTCTGTCCAAATAAATTAAATGTGAGGCCTGATTGGTGATGAGGGACACTATTTCTTAGAGCAGGATGTTCCTCCCCACACCTCCTCTCCATACTGCAATAAAGAAACAAAAGGACTCCATTTCTTAATTTAATCTTTCTTGTTTGCCCTGTGATTTGTTTGAAATGCAGAATTCTTACCTATTTTTATTTTAGGCAAACAAATCTGTCTTACAATTCATGTTCATTTGTGTTAGTTTTCTTCTCGTACAACATGGACAGCTTTTGCTTTTTTTTCTTTGTACCATCAAACACCTGACTTTTTCCATAATCTTTCTCTCATTAATCTTTTCCTTTCCTGATTCTACAAGTTGTTCCTTCAGCTATTCACTATATATAAGACGTTTCCAGGTTCCTAACTATTGCTTCCTTCCTATGTCAGTGCTTAATTGTCTACAAGTTTACCAGACAGACGTGATTTTGCCCTGATAGATAACCTGAATTATTGTCTTAAAAAACTGACCCTTAAATTTTTTTCTGTTCTTTCGCTCTTCAAAATAACCAACACCTTGACTCAAGGCAGTGATGTAAATGGGGTATTTGGAGAACTATTATTAGACAAACTAGGATGGAATGGTCAATTCATGTTTGTTTTTTTTTAACATCTTTATTGGAGTATAATTGCTTTACAATGGTGTGTTAGTTTCTGCTTTATAACAAAGTGAATCAGTTATACATATACATATGTTCCCATATCTCTTCCCTCTTGCATCTCCCTCCCTCCCACCCTCCCCATCCCACCCCTCTAGGTGGTCACAAACCTCGGAGCTGATCTCCCTTTGCTATGCGGCTGCTTCCCACTAGCTATCTATTTTACATTTGGTAGTGTATATATGTCCATGTCACTCTCTCACTTTGTCCCAGCTTACCCTTCCCCCTCCCTGTATCCTCAAGTCCATTCTCTAGTAGGTCTGCATCTTTATTCCTGTCTTGTCCCTAGGTTCTTCTGACCATTTTTTTTCTTTTTCATTTTTTTTTAGATTCCATATATATGTGTTAGCATATGGTATTTGTTTTTCTCTTTCTGACTTCACTCTGTATGACAGACTCTAGGTCCATCCACCTCACTACAAAACTCAATTTCGTTTCTTTTTATGGCTGAGTAATATTCCATTGTATATATGTGCCACATCTTCTTTATCCATTCATCTGTCGATGGACACTTAGGTTGCTTCCATGTCCTGGCTATTGTAAATAGAGCTGCAGTGAACATTGTGGTACATGACTTTTTAAAAATTTTATTTTATTTTTATTTTTGGCTGCGTTGGATCTTTGTTGCTGCGTGTGGGCTTTCTCTAGTTGTGGCAAGCGGGGGCTACTCTTGGTTGCAGTGCACGGGCTTCTGAGTGCAGTGGCTTCTCTTGTTGCGGAGCATGGGCTCTAGGCACGCAGGCTCAGTAGTTGTGACACATGGGCTCAGTAGTTGAGCCTCACGGGCTCTAGACCGCAGGCTCAGTAGTTGTAGCACATGGGCTTAGTTGCTCCATGGCATGTGGGATCTTCCTAGACCAGGACTCAAACCCGTGTCCCCTGCATTGGCATACGGATTCTTAGCTGCTGCGCCACCAGGGAAGCCCCACATGACTCTTTTTGAATGATGGTTTTCTCAGGGTATATGCCCAGTAGTGGGATTGCTGGGTCATACGGTAGTTCTATTTTTAGTTTTTTAAGGAACCTCCATACTTTTCTCCATAGTGGCTGTATCAATTTACATTCCCACCAACAGTTCAAGAGGTTCCCTTTTCTCCACACCCTCTCCAGCATTTATTGTTTGTAGATTTTTTGATGATGTCCATTCTGACCGGTGTGAGATGATATCTCATTGTAGTTTTGATTTGCGTTTCTCTAATTAATGATGTTGAACATTCTTTCATGTGTTTGTTGGCAATCTATATATCTTCTTTGGAGAAATGTCTGTTTAGGTCTTCTGCCCATTTTTGGATTGGGTTGTTTGTTTTTTTAATATTGAACTGCATGAGCTGTTTACATATTTTGGAGATTAATCCTTTGTCCATTGATTCATTTGCAAATATTTTCTCCCATTATGAGGGTTGTCTTTTCGTCTTGTTTATGGTTTCCTTTGCTGTGCAAAAGCTTTTAAGTTTTATTAGGTCCCATTTGTTTATTTTTGTTTTTATTTCCATTTCTCTCTAGGAGGTGTCAAAAAGGATCTTGCTGTGATTTATGTCATAGAGTGTTCTGCCTGTTTTCCTCTAAGAGTTTGGTGGTGTCTGGCCTTACATTTAGGTCTTTAATCCATTTTGTCAATTCATGTTTAAGGGAACAGTGATGTGTTGATTTTAAGCATGCTTAAATTTTTGCTGATAGGGAAATTTCTAGGTAGATATTGCTTCAGAGTTTCTAAAATTATCTGTTATCCACAACAAAGTTTTATATTTATATCTTAATAGTGTTTTATAAATCTTTTCAACTCTTTAGGGTCACCCTGTGACCCCACTTTCATCCTGGGCTGTGCTCCCTGCAATGTGATCTGCTCCATTATTTTCCAGAATCGTTTTGATTATACAGATCAGAATTTTCTTATAGGAAACTTTAATGAAAACCTCAGGATTTATGAGCTCCCCATGGATCCGGGTGAGGTCAGGATCCTCTCTTCCTGAGAAATCGTTTATGCTCTTTTCTCTGACAAGTCCAAAATTCTGTATGGACCAAGCCATGAAGTGAATGTTTGAAAACTGGACATTTTGGGTATTACAGCGTGGTAGCTCTGGGAATCAGATTCTCCCCTCTGTTTTTTTTTTTTTTTTTTTCTTTCCAGTTTTTTTTGTTTCTTAATTCCCTGACCAGGGATCAATCCCCTGCCCCCTGCAGTGGAAGCGCGGAGTCTTAACCACTGGACCGCCAGGGAAGTCCCTGTAGTTTTTTGTTTGTTTGTTTGTTTTGCTTTCTACAAGCTGTAGCTATTGGTTTATTTAGTGACTTTTCTAAACTATTTTTGCAAAGTCTCTCTTTTTTTTTTTTTGCCTTGTGTGGTCACTGGAATCTCTGTTCCTTTAGCTTATGTTCAGCTAGTGTTTGGAGAGAGATGTCCTTTTTTTTAGGAGTGATAGATCTTTCTTTGGCTTTTCTTTTTTTTTTTCATTCTTTTAAATTGAATGAAAGGGTCTTTAAATTCTGTATTGCTTTACAATTTTCAAAAGTTTCACACACATGATTTCATATAATCCCGTAATAACCCTTTTTCCCTCACTACCCCTATACTGCCCCTCCCTCCTTCCCTCTCCCTTCTGATAACCACTAGTTTGTTCTCTATCTGGAGTCTACGGATATTGATATCTTTGAACGTGAGGAGGCAAAAAGAAAAAAAAGACGAAGAGGAAGAGATGGGGAGAGAGAGAGAGAAAGGAAGAGAGGAAGGGGGGAGGGAGGGAGGAAATAACTCTTCCAGATTGGCTCTGTGCATGTGTGTAGCTTTCTAAATTTTTCAGTATACAGGGGTGCTTTTGAATGTCCTAATTTCCCAAAGGCACTCCTTCCCCAGCTTTTCTTCCTGGAGTTTGATGCTCTGTTGTATGCCTTAACTGTAATATTTTGCCCCAGGTGGCTGTGGGCTGTTCATTAATATTGCAAGGTTTTTGAGACATCCCTGCCGCGTTTCCACTCTAGGTTAGATGAAACAAAAACAAGTGCCTGCGTCAGTCTGTCAGGTGGCCTCAGACAGGTTAGAACACAGAAATGCAGTCTTCGTGACTGAGGTCTGCTCTGGTCCCTCTGGAACCAGGAGCCAGGCTCCCACACCACAAGCTGCCCTTGTTAAGACCACTGCCAAGCCAAGGATGGAAGTGGGACAAGGGCAAAAAAAAAAAAAAAAAAAAAAAAGGGCTTCCCTGGTGGCGCAGTGGTTGAGAATCTGCCTGCTAATGCAGGGGACACTGGTTTGAGCCCTGGTCTAGGAAGATCCCACATGCCACGGAGCAACTAGCCCGTGAACCACAACTGCTGAGCCTGCACGTCTGGAGCCTGTGCCCCGCAACAAGAGAGGCTGCGATAGTGAGAGGTCCGCGCACCGCGATGAAGACACTGCTTGCCACAACTAGAGAAAGCCCTTGCACAGAAATGAAGACCCAGCCAAAAATATAAATAATTAACTTAAAAAAAAAAAGGAAAAATAAAAAACAAGCCACAGATCTTTGCTGCCATTTTTTAAGTAGATTCTGACAGTTTCCGCTTGATTTTCTGACATTTTTGTAGAGGGATAGACCTTTGGAACTGTCTACTGCATCATTTTTGCTGATGTTATTCTGTAAGTGAGTGTTTGAACACAGCAGTCCTGCCTTACTGTCGTAGAGTGAACATCTGGGAAAGGTGGCTGAGCCTTTATTTTACGAAGAAAAGAAATGCCTGAGTATAAAGCTGGAATTCAAGCCTTGTTGGCTTCCTGGCCAGTGGTTTTTCCACTACCCCCCCAAAGCCCAGTTTCCATAAACTACTTTGGTGACTGCCCAAAAGGATGGCCATAGCACTCAATGGACATCCAGGTCATTGCTGAAAGGTTTCCATTACCCCCAAGGCTTATCCTCAGATATGTAGTGATTTCTTCATCACGTTACTTAGCAGAAATATCCTAATTTAGGAAGGAAGAGAATATCTCTTTCAAGGAGGGACAATGTTTATGAACAGAGGTGCTGCCAGGGAACACCGACTAGGGCAGGGGTGTTTGTTGCTTCAGTTGGGATCCTAGCTGACAGTGTAATTGGGCTTGGGATGACAAAATGATTGGTTCTATGGTGTATGAATCATAAACAGACACCACAGTTTTGCCCTGTGCTGAGCTGATATGTCCTGTACTCTGCCTAAATAAAATCACATGATATTAGAAAAGTCACTTACCTGCTCTGGTGCACAGCTACTTTATCCCTAAAATGCTGAGGTGGGTTTCATGCCATTTTTGCACCCCTCTGAGTTATAATACAGTGATTCTATTTCTGAGGCTGCTTGATAGTAGTAGAAATAGCAGGGAGTGGGTTTGTGCTCAGTATCAGGTTACTCAAAATTCCTTAACCTCTGCCCTCATCTACAAAATGTGAATCATAGTAATTCATCTTATTCTGTGTTTCAAGGTTGTAATGAAGAATTAATTTAAAAAATGAGAGAATTGATATAAATATGCTTTAATATCATAAGGTTGATGTATGAGTATAGGAAATTGCTATCAACTTTCATCATCTGGTCAGTTTTCTCCCTTAAATACTCTAGCAGCATGAAGAATTATTTTACATGTACACTATAAAATGCTCCTCTTGAAGAAAGAGACCATATTTTATTCACTTCAGTTTTTAACCAGGGCTTGGCATATGGTAGATATGTCTTCAATATGTGTTTTTAGTTTAATAAATATATTTTTAAAATCTTTAAGGTCTGCAATAGTTTCCCTGCTCTCATGGACTATCTCCCAGGGAGTCATAACAAAGTACTTAAAATTTTTGCTTATGTAAAAAGCTATGTTTTAGAGAAATAAAAGAACACCAAGCGTCTCTGGACATTAACAATCCTCAGGACTTCATTGATTGTTTCCCGATCAAAATGGAACAGGTAAAATATTAATGACAGATTGGTTGTCTGTTTGCCTGAATTTTTTTGTTCATTGACTAGTTCTGTACTTATTAGGGATATTTAAATGGTTATGGACGAAATGCTTGACCAGCACTTTGGGTACTATGTGTGCATGGATCTGGATTGAGCATCAAAGGAGATTTAAAATTGAATTGTTAAATAACAATACATGGACCCTGTTCGTTAGGTACTAATAGGCTACCTGAGGAGAAGGAGAACATACGTCTTGGGTGAAATGGAAATACAAACAAATGAGAAATACAAAATACTGAGCCATAAAAGGAAGGTGGATGTGATCATTTCACACAGCATGTGGGAGAGTGAGAAGGAAGGGCTTAGCCTGGGTGGGCTTCCTGAATGTCCTGAGGTTTTATGTAGATCTTCAAATATTTGCAGTAAGTCATAGGGGAGGGAATTTCAGATTGGTAGAATGGTGTCATGAGAGGTTCAGAGGTGTGTTGTGGTAAAGAGACTGGATGGATGGAAGAGAGAAGCCTTAAATGAGTGTAACCAAAAATAAATTTGGACAGATGTGGAGTGGGCGGTTGGTGTCTGTCAAGTAACTGTAAACGTGAATGTTGGCAGGAGAAGTAGTGATTTGATCAGGTAGATGTATGAACCAGAACAAGAGTAGAATGCACATAATTACTGGGGAAGATTATCCAGCTGCCAGCCCAGTCAGTTTCTGAACACTTTTATCACCTTGAAAAGAAATCCTATATGCTTTAGGAGTCACCCCCTTTCCTCCCCAACCTCCCCAGCTCTAAACATTACCAATCTACTTTCCACCTCTATAGATTTGCTATTCTGGACATTTCATATTAATGGAATTATACAATATGTATAATTCATATGATATGTATGATAACATCTTTTGTGTCTAGCTTCTTTCACTTAACAACGTTTTCAAGGTTCACTCCTTTAAATGGTTGAATGATATTTCAGTGTGGATATACCACATTTTATATATGTTTGTTGGTTGATGGACATTTTGGTTGCGTCTGTCTTTTGGTTATTATGAATAATGTTTCTGTGGACATTTGTGTACAGGTTTTTGTGTATACATATGTTTTAATTTCTCTTGGGTATATACCTAGTGGTAGAATTGTTGGGTCTATGATAAATTTATATTTAACCTTTGGAGGAAGTGTGGCAGATCAAAGACTTAATGTAAGAGCTGAAACTATAAAACTCTTAGAAGAAAACTTACGCATAAAATTGCACCATTTTATATTCTCATCAGCAGTATATGAAGGGTACAATTTATTCACATCCTTGACAGTACTTCTAATTATCTGTCCTTTTTTTTTTTTTTTTTTTTTTTTGT